CTCAGAATGAAGATTTCAATTGTGTAAGTTAAAACGTTGATTGTTTAAATTGTTTTAATTTTTTAGATATGATAGAAATCTTTTTTTCCAAAACATACATGCATTTTATGAAAGTTTTTCCTTTTTAGCTTTCACAAATACGTCAGAAGAAATCAAGTTCACGATAAATTAAATACTATGAAAATTAAATTATATATTTATTTATACCGATATTGATTGCTGGATAATGATTATTGCGCCATCTACATTCAAAACTTTTGTGAATGACCTACTTAACAAAATTTTAATATTTTGAAAACTTGATAAAACACGGTAAAAAATATTCTAGTATTGAGAAGAAAACACGTTCTTAGAAAATCTGGCAACTAACAGAAATACATTTATAAATAAATTTATGAATACTATAACGTTGCAAATCGGGTTTCGATACCCGTAGAGCTAGTTCTTTGTGTTTAACAACGAACAAAACTCGTAAATAAAATATAAACTATTGAATAATTTTTTGTGCATTTAAAATATTTTATAAGGTTCTTAAAGTTACATAGGAAAGTCGTTCTTAGGTTTGGAGATATATAGCTTATTCTGACTATTTTTGTGCAGTTCTGTAATAAAGATAAGACAAAAGAAGACGCAAAAATTTTTTCTTCATTGAGTTAGCTTACTTCTTGCTATGAAGCTTATCGGATCCAACGATTACAAATAGTTAGGTATTATAAAGTTGATTTGTGTTCTAGAGTTTATAACTGGTTCCACAAATTAACTATTCATAATCAAACACTTAATTTTTTATTATTGTTTATTTTTGCTCAAAGCTACTCAGTGTGCTGTCAACCCTGTGTCCACTGTGGAACTCGAGCCCAGAATTCTACTGTTATAAGTCATCAAGCTTACCGCTTAGCCACTGAAGGACTTTATTATTGCCGTTTTTATTAATAAATGTGAAGTCCTGCATGATGAATGCGACAGTTTAAATATAAAACAAAGTTCACTTTCATCTCTACACCTTTACTTATAGTTTCTGGTTTAACATCTCACGTTAATAATTTATTAAAAATTATATTTATATGACCTTGATAGCTTTTTTGCTATAATTCTAGCCATTACAGCGGGTATTCTTTTCTGTCTCAGACAGACACACACTTCAGGACTTAAGTTAATGAAATGTAAGGTTCGATCCCGGTGGTCAACACTGCATATAAGCGGTAGTGGCACTTTACATAAAAGACAAACAGCTTCGACTTTAAAAACACACAATGCTGCAGGATTAGCTATCTATACAGTGTTCGCTGCATGGATCGAACTCTGAATTTTTATTATATTATAAGCACACTAATAAAGAAGGTTAACAAAAGCTGAATTAAATAAATAATAGATATTTAAAAGGTTTACTAGTTCCTTTAAATATGGAGCTTACAAGTATTTATATTGTTGCGTGTTTTGATTTGTTTGTAAATGCATGAACAAAACAAGAAAGGGGAAAGATGTGATACAGTATGGTACCATGCGTCTGCTACCCACTTATTTAATGCATAAATGTTCCATGCCTCCCCCCAGTGGCACAGCACCCTTAAACTTATCACACGTGTAAGCCAAATATCTAAACTTAACAAAAATATATTTCCTAACAGGAGAGAACCTGGTTTTAAGTACCAAAATACAATGCATAAAACCAGGTTGCTCACGATACCACCTCGTACAAGTACACGTAACCTGGAACATTACACAATTCACTGACAGAAAAGATAGCAGTCTATTTAGGAACATCACACTTAATGACCAATAAGTGAACCCTAGCCCCGTGCTCAATAAGAGTAAGGAGAATTTGAGTTGTTTACTTAAGTGACTTCCTGAGTCACTATTATACAATAAATTTGAAACATTTGTTTCTGTTGTTTGTTATTAAGCTATCTGTGCTCTGCCCATCACGGGTATCGAAACCCGATTTCTAGTGGTCTACATACTTTTTTCTAGAGTTATAACATTTTTAATTCAAGAGCTTTCAGATTTCTCTAACGTTTATTTACTATCACTGTAATTATCAGAAGTTGTTTTAATTTTGTAGTTTAACTGTCTTTTTTTTTTTTATCTTATAAGTGGGGGACTTGCAAAGGACTGGCGAGAGAGGGGGAGAACCAATAAAGGTTTCTTTCTCACATCTCTCTCTCTCAACAGCATATAGCCATCCTTAAGTTTCATGTTAAGTGTATTGTGTCTGTACTTTAATTGTGTTTGATTATTAAACATCGTGGTTTTAAATTTTTAGGTTTACTGCATCTTTGACGAATTCAGTCAGTGTTCAGGGTGAACACAGACCCATATTTCATGGACCGAAATATATCATGTGAGTATCATCATTATGCCTTGCTGGTCTGGAAGACTCTTGACTACCAGACCAATGGGCTCCAGAAAGTATTGGAACAATTAGACTACTTGAAGCAACCATGACCTTTCTCTGTCACCAAGGGAAATAACCATTAAAAGTTGCATCATAGGTACTCAAGAAAACCCAGCAAGCCACCCATCAACTTCATGATCATAAAGAAGGAACGAGGATGAGGACACAATTCTCACTATTGTTGTCAAAAGCTGTCAGTGCTTCTCCTAGTCCTTGCCACATTCTCAGATCAAATACTCACATCAACTGCAGCTTCCTCCTCTCCCTCTTACTTGAGAGTCAAACAAACATGCCCACAATGGGATACACAATAATAAATCCTATGATCATGGCACCATCTAGGTACACTCATTTTCGCCAGATACTTAAAAGTATTCACAATAATGCAGATTCAGGACTTTTAAGCAAAGAATAAATTGAACATAGATAGTGTAGTGTGTTTTACCTACTGGGCAGCTTAGAGCTTCCCAATCTTTCTTACTGGCTGCTAATATAAGAAGCATTCTTCAAGTCCATACAAGAAATGACAGAATTATTTCTCTTATGTGTAATGAACAATGACAAGAAAAATTATTTTTTGCATACACACAGGATAAAGCCAAGAGAAATTTCCAAATTATAAAAAGGGGTTCAAATGTGGTATACCATAGTCCTACATTGCCAACTCTCCCAAAAAATACAAACAGAGAAACAAAACACTCTAACTCATAACAATTTGTACTAGTAGTTGTGTCACCACTTGAGATGGGCTCACCTGCTCAAGAAATTGAACACATTTAACAAAGTAAAAGGATTACCACATTTATGACTTTCCAATATCCTGTTAATGAGAATTTCATAACTACATGCAAAACATACTACCTGAATATATTTGAATAATGATATATTCCGCACTAATTATGGAAGGGTTACATTCATAGCTGTACCAGTTATAACACACAAGTTATGAAGGTTTGCTATATGCTATCCCCATCTACTAGAATTGTGAATGTTAAGTTCAAATTTGCAAAGCATATCATTCAAATGTAAAAAGCAATTATAATAAAATTGTTCACAAAAATTAAAGTTAACCTAAAATTTTCTTGGCTTATTTCCAATTGGAAACTGAATAACTGTGGAGGATATTGTGTTAATTAAATGATTTCATTTATGTCACACAGGCCTAGCAAACTTTTTTAATACAAACTTAGAACACCGGATTTTATACCAAAACACCTTTTATTTATAAGAAGGAGGTACACATAGCAGAGATGGAAGGACAGGTGTACATATTTCAGGACGTAATTATAAAAAAATTCCAATGGAATCATCTCTTTCCTGATGTTTCTAACATCAAAACATTGTAATGAAATGTTTGTAAAAATAAGAAAATTTAAAGTATCACAAGATGATCATTCTGTTTCATAGGTTATTACAAAATCAAACAATACTGTTTTCAGTCACTTGACAGTTTTCTCTGATGCTACTAAAACGATAATTGTCTATTTGATGTTTACGAAACACATCTTTTGCTTTGGTCCTTTAGTACAAAAATTCAGAAACTTTCCCTTATGTATTGCCAATACAAGTTAATCATCTTAAAACTAACAATCAAAAGCTAATATTCTTGGCATGGTATGATTTGAAGTCCCTAGTCAGAAAATCATTTAGTAATATAGTTGTTTATAAATAAAAGAAATCCACGTTTTATCATCAATATAGAAATCTTCTAAAATATGGTTTAAGACATGGATAAGAAAATATAAATTATACAATTCTTTGTCACGGACATTTGAATTATGTATAATTACCTCTTACCAGATTTGATAATATTTTTTTTAGGTGATTTACTTCATGTTATAAATAACCCTAGCTATCGAGTTCTGGATTTAAGTTTGCTATTTCATTGAATTTAAGTATAAATCTTAAAATTTAGCCTTAATTTAGCTGTCATGAACATTTTTGGATATGAAGTCCACGTACAAAACTTTAAACTTTATCGGTTACTTTCCAGTTATGATAAACTCAAAAGGTGTGCTTCTGTGGAGCAGTGTAGGTGGAGGAGGTAAAATGAATTATCAAAAAAATAGAAGACCAGCTTAGCATGCTTGCTGCCTATCATTCTATACAGGGTTATTGAAAATTTATGTTAATTTTCCTACATTTGCTTTATGAAATTATAGTTTTTTAATTTGTTTTAAAAATACGTGCTGAAATTCTCATCAACAATAATTACTGATTTTGACAAAAGAAATGTATAGAATTTAGTTTTGGAGAAAGAAAAAGAAAGAAGTATCGTATACTGGTCTTATTTATCTCTTGTAGTGTAACCATAATATTGGTTAAATATACTCAAACTTTTGAAGTGATAAGGATTAAGCACAACCTACAGGTATTAAAAACACCAATTTGAATGCAAAATGTAAGTAGTTTATTTAAAAATAAATGTTGTACTCTTGATTTTGGCAAATTGTAAGACTAGATGATTGAAGATTTATTTGCAGCTAGATTAAAACATCTAATATTGATTTTATAATATTTTCAACAAGGTAATATTTTCATTTACAATTTACATAATTAATTTGTGTGCAATTAAAGCAGTTTTTAAAGTCATAATTTTTCTTTAAGAGATCTCTAAACAAACTAGAATATACAATGAAAAAACTTACCTGAGAATTATCAAGTATTAAAAAAAAAAGTGTCATTATTTAAAATACATTTGAAAACAGGATTTTAACAATTTGGCACACACACACACACACTCGTATTTTTGAGAAAATATGGAGAAAAAAAATGTCTCCTTTACAAGATACTCTTAAATATGTTTAATGCACAAAATTGTTTTCTCTCAAAAACAATCTTCAGTTGTTTAAATTAAGTTTCTCAGACACTTAAGTCCAAGAGATAGTTGGTTACTAAGATAGTCCTTCAAATTCTTTTATAGATGATTTGAACAATCTTCATGATTAACAAAAATGGTCAATAATCTCCTAGTTCAGCATGAAGACTAATATACAAAATAGCACAGATGGAAAAAAACCTGAATGTGAATGTTTTTTTGAAACATCGTCATTTTCATCGGTGCTACTTTTACATCACTGACACAAACATAATCAAGATCGACAAACTTGGAACATCTGGCTTCACAGAAGCGTAATAAACCATCAAGCTGAAAGAAATTTGCTGCTGCCATCAAGTAAAAAATAAATTATTCCTCAAAGACTTTTTCCACAAGCCCTAAAATAGGCAGTTCAGCCCTTAAAAGATTTGGATGTTTACAAAATTTGTAATTCACAATTCCAGTAAATTAAGTACTGTTATACCTGACATTCAAACGGTTTAATCAAAGTGAAATGAATAAACAAAAATACAACATACTTCAACCATCAAAAGCAAACTCAAGGCCTCCATATTCTAATCTAATCGTCATCAATTGAGTTACCAAACTATACAACAGTATTTTACAGAGAAATTAAAATTCTCGTGTACAGTAAACACAAGCGTATCTTAATATATAGAAACAAAAACAGATAATCTAATTATGTAAAAAATGATTGACAAAGTTTAAAGAAGTTTGAATTGAACTCTCTGGTGGGATTACTGAGGTAGTTAAATAAAACGTTTTTTCTCCAGGTTTCTATGTGCTGGTCTTCTTGAATTTAGTAGATCTACAGATCAATTTATAATATATTTTATTTTAATTCTGGCATTTATTAGGTCTTACTGGCCAGTCTTTTGTTGTTGTTGTTATTTTTTAGCTATGGACTTACAGGTTATTCAAAAAATGAACAATGCTTGTGTTGGCACTTTCTAACGAAATGTGAGAAGGGAACCTTAAGATGATCTTTGTTCATGATGAATAGATGTGTTATAAAGATTATTTATCCAGTGTATGCATAATTTAAAGTTTGAGTGAGCCCCGCCAGTGTGTTGTAAAGTATATGATACATATATATCAGTGTAGTATGTGTAGTAATCATTGTGGGTATTTAGGATTAATCCTTCAGGAAAAGTCATTTGGAAAGAAAGAAAGTAATTGTACAAAAAAAATAATAATTATATGATCAAGAACTTTATTGCTCAAAAAAAAATCTCGATTTTTGTAAATATTTTGCTTTGAATCTGATATCTAAATAAGTTTTATGAATATAACTTTAATAAATAATTATTTTTATTTTTAGTTGATGGCAGCAGCCAATTTCTTTCAACTTGATGGTTTATTACGCTTCTGTGAAGCCAGATGTTCCAAGTTTGTAGATCTTGATAATGTGGTGTCAATGTACATTCATGCTAAGGTATACAGTGCAGTACAGCTACTGGAATACTGCCAAGGGTTCCTTTTACAGAACATGGTAGCTTTACTAACTTATGATGACAGTGTGCGAAAGTTAATCTTTGGAAAGAAGCTTCATAATCATGATGTCCTAAGTGGGCTTTTACTTAGGCTGCAAGCCAGAATAAAAGAACGTTCTCAAAGCTGCAAACAAAACAGTGGAAGTAAGACCCATATTTAGAGTCCAGCATGAGCTCACCTATTACATAGAATATTTTCAATTATAGAAAAATGAAAAAAAATCAATGCATTGTGATGTCACAAAGCTGTTTACTGAAAAAAACAAAACAGAAATTTGTTAAAACTTGCTCTTAATTGTATTTAATCGCTGTTTTAATGTAAATCTCCTTTTTTCTATTTTGGTTCTCATTTCAAATGAACTTTCATGAACTTCTATTTACAAAGATTTTTTAGCTGCATTGTATTTTCTTTGTCACAGATATATTTTATGTACTTATTAATATTTCTATCACATATTAATTATTTTTAGGACAAATAAGATGTACGCTATTTTAGCTCATTTTTTAATTCATGCCATTTTAAAAGATATTTTCTGGTTTTGGTATAGAGTGACATAAAAGGTGTCAGAATATACTTATTAAAAACAATTTTAAAACAGAAAAATCTTAATTGTTTTAGTTCCGTCAAGATAATTGCTGATGCAAATCAAAACCTTCCTGTGCCCCGAGTAGTTTATCTGTTTGTTTGTAATTTTTTTGATCTTGTAAGTTGGTATTAAAAGAAATTCATTTTCTTTTTTATTATTTTCAAGCACTTTCACAAATACCCTGCATTTCTCTTGATAAAAACAAAATTTTTATTTGATCACTGTAAAGAGTAATTAAATTACGAATTATTGTTACTCTTACTTCTTACATGTTTTTTTTTTATAACACTACAAAAGTTGTGTTCAAAATAGCAATTCAAAAGAATTTTTTTTTCAAACACTTGTGATTTACAACTAAACCTTTAATAGGTATTTCCAGACGTGCCTGTGAACAAACTGATTGGTTGTTGGTGCATATTTGCATAATGAGGAAAATGAATATTAATTTAACAAAACAAATTAAAAGGCATACCTCAAGTATATCGTTTTGATCCACTTCAAATTCTTCACAACCTCCTTTATACAGATACTGCATTACAAGCTACAAAACATTTACAAAACATAGTATAGTATTTGATTTCATACCTTAATGATACAAGTATTTAAAACAATTATCATTTCAGTTGTATAATTCATATTTAAATAGCTACAAATATTTCGATTTTAAACTTGTATCTATCTATGCTGTACCGTTTTTTT